ACAATCTGTTGAAATATTTGGAAAAGAGAACAGTCAATGTGGTTTTCTGTAAGACTCAAAACATTTTCTACCATGAAGTTTACACAGCCCCACTGCTCAAAAAAATAAACCAACAGAACTGTTCAGAGATTATTAGAGGTCCTTATATACAGATCCTTCTAAAAAAATTTGCATATTGTGATAAAGTTAATTATTTTCTGTAATATAATGATACACATTAGACTTTCATACAGTATATATTAGATTCATTACACACAACAGTAGTTCAAGCCTTTGATTGTTTCTAATATTGATGATTTTGGCGTACAGCTCATGAAAACCCAAAATTCCTATGTGAAAAAATTAGCATTTCATGAAAAGGGTTTCTAAACGAGCTATTAACCTAATCATCTGAATCAACTAATTAACTCTAAACACCTGCAAAAGATTCCTGAGGCTTTCAAAAAACCCCAGCCTGGTTCCTTACTCAAAACCGCAATCATGGGTAAGACTGCCGACCTGACTGCTTTCCAGAAGGCCATCATTGACACCCTCAAGTAAGATTCTGAGTGAATAGGCTGTTCCCAGAGTGCTGTATCAAGGCACCTCAGTGGGAAGTCTGTGGGAGGGAAAAAGTGTGGCAGAAAACGTTGCACAACGAGAAGAGGTGACCAGACCCTGAGGAAGACTGTGGAGAAGGATCGATTCCAGACCTTGGGGGACCTGCGGAAGCAGTGGACTGAGCCTGGAGTAGAAACATCCAGAGCCATCGTGTACAGGCGTGTGCAGTAAATGAGCTACAGGTGTCGCATTCCCCAGGTCAGGCCACTTGTGAACCAGAAACAGCGGCAGAAGCGCCTGACCTGGGCTACAGAGAAGCAGCACTGGACTGTTGCTCAGTGATCCAAAGTACTTTTTTCAGATGAAAGCAAATTTTGCATGTCATTCGGAAATCAAGGTGCCAGAGTCTGGAGGAAGACTGGGCAGAGGGAAATGCCAACATGCCTGAAGTCCAGTGACAAGTACCCACAGTCAGTGATGGTCTGGGGCGCCATGTCAGCTGCTGGTGTTGGTCCACTGTGTTTTATCAAGGGCAGGGTCAATGCAGCTAGCTATCAGGAGATTTTGGAGCACTTCATGCTTCCATCTGCTGAAAAGCTTTATGGAGATCAAGATTTCATCTTTCAGCACTACCTGGCACCTGCTCACAGTGCCAACACCACTGGTAAATGGTTTACTGACCATGGTAATACTGTGCTCAACTGGCCTGCCAACTCTCCTGACCTGAACCCCGTAGAGAACCTGTGGGATATTGTGAAGAGAAAGTTGAGAGATGCAAGACCCAACACTCTGGATGAGCTTAAGGCCGCTATCGAAGCATCCTGGGCCTCCGTAACACCTCAGCAGTACCACAGGCTGATTGCCTCCATGCCACGCCACATTGAAGCAGTCATTTCTGCAAAAGGATTCCCGACCAAGCATTGAGTGCATAACTGAACATAATTATTTGAAGGTTGACTTTTTTTTGTATTAAAAACACTTTTCTTTTATTGGTCGGATGAAATATGTTAATTAACTCTAAAAAAACAGGTGGTTACTTGTGGTGTGCCTCGAGGTTCGATCATTGGTCCGCTATTATTTAATCTGTATATGCTTCCTCTTGTGCAAATTGTTCAGAGGCACAATGTTAATTATCGTAAGATGATATCAGATGACTTACAATTATATTAAATTTCATTGTCTTCTGGTAATACAGCCCCCCTTCACTGTCTTACACAATGTATTAAGGATATGGATGCCTGGATGTCTGAAAATTTCTTACATTTAAATCAAGATAAGACAGAAATTCTGGAATTTGGTCCAAATGCACAGAGACAGACAGGTGTAGATTTTCTCGCCTCTCTGTCTCTTCAATGTAAAAATGAAGCACGTAACTTGGGTGTATTTTTAGATAGTGACCTGAATTTAAAAAAAAACATATTAATCATACAACTAAACTAGCTTTTTTCATTTACGTAACATTTCTAAAATTAAACATTTTGTATCAAAAACTGACATTGAAAAGCTAATCCATGCATTCATGACTACCAGGCTGGATTATTGTAATGGTCTCTCAATTGGCCTCCCTCAGTATGCTACTTACAGATTACAGCTAATTCAGAATACTGCTGCTCATGTTCTGACTGGAACAAAGAAATCAGAACATATTACTTCAGTTTTAAGATCTCTGCACTGGTTACCAGTTGAAAAACGAATTGATTTTAAAATCCTACTGCTTGTACTGTATATAAAGCTCTCAATGGCCTTGCACCACAATATATTACAGACATGCTAGTACCTTATATACCAGTCAGACCACTCCGGTCTGCAGATCATGGGTATCTTGTTATACTACGTACACGTTCAAGTCAGGGGAGGCTGCTTTTAGTGTATATGCATCTAAGATCTGGAATACTTTGCCTTTATAGAAGAGGGAAGCAGCTACACCATATATTTTTAAGATAAATTTAAAAACTTTTTATTTGAACAAACATATGGTTAGGCTGTATTATGTCTAATTTATATCCTCCTTTTATAGATAGTTTTATTCATAGATAAGCGCTTAGAATTATGTTTAACTGTTATCTTAGCTTAATTTTATGGCCGTGTATAGATGTGTGTGCAAATGTGTGTGTAAATGTTTGTGTGTGTGCATGTGTGTGTGCAAGTTTGAATGTATAGGTTTTAGTTTTATGTGTATATTTGATGTATGTATACACCATTTGCTGTTAAAGTGTGTACATATTTTATAATTGATTGTTTTATTTAGTCTCTTTTACTGTTAAGCACATTGAGTTGTTACCATGCAGGAAATGTGCTCTATAAATGAAGTCATTCATTCATTCATTCATACTTGAAGGACAGAACTCAGTGCATTACATCTGATGGGTTGTCCTCTGAATTTTTGAGTGTCCACAAGGAAGTACCACAGGGTTCCGTCTTGGGACCCCTCTTGTTCATTATGTATATCAATGACAGGACAAAATATGTTGTATGCTAAATTGCACTTTTACTTTGATGACACAATCATTTACGGTTGTGGAACAACCCCACTAAATGAATTCTTGCAGAAAGCTTTTAATGAGGTCCAACAAACAGTTCTGCTGTTAAAATAGGTCAACAATGCTGACAAGACTAAACTAATGTTGTTTTTAAACTAAAAAAGAAAAGCATCTAAGGATGCCCTCAGTGACCACTCGAGGGAAACATCATAGAGGTGGTCCACACGTACAAACACCTGTCTGGCTCCATGACTCCCTCTCCTTCAAGCCCCTGTAGATAATCTTGTGAAGAAACTCAAACTCAGACTAAGTTTCTTTTTTTTAGAAAAAAACTGTTTTTCTTTTCTGATCAGCTGTTACTTTGTGTTCCGTTTGTCCGCACCGAACTGGGCTAAAGCGCTTTTGTTCACTCTGCTCCTTCTGCATGGAAGAGGCTGCAGGAAAACTAGAAGTTAACCGAGTTTATCTCCTTGGATACGTTTAAAACCAGACCGAGAGCACTTGAGACGGATTCCCTGTGTTGTAACTAGGGTTGTCATGGTAACCAGTGTAGCGGTAAACCCCGGTAAAAAAGTTGACAATAATAATAACCGTCTTGTTTTTAAAACAATCTATTATCTCGGTGGGTTACCGTGGCTGCGGTGTACGCGCGGTGACCCTTACCAGCCACAGTATCATCTGCTGAAGTTGCCGGCGGCACATGCGCACTTTGTTGTTTACAACCAAAACTCTCTTTAAGCTAAAGCTGAAATAATGGCCAAAGGAGGAGACGGCAGCGCTCAGGACATTTATTATCCCTCAAAGAAGACAAAGTGGCAAGTACGGGCATTTTTTGGATATTTGAAGAATGCCGAGGGACAGCTGATAGAAGACGGCTATCCTGTTTGCAGCAGGTGCAGAAAAAGTGTCTGTGAAAGGCAGCAACGCTTCAAATCTCATGACACATCTGCGTGACCATCACCCACAACTCTACAGTCAACGCAAGGCAAGCTAACGTTAGCGCTTTAGCTAAAATGCGTGATCCGAGGATTTGGGTTGAGGGAGAATACAACGAGTCGCTATATAAAGCAGCCGCAGCGCCGCTACCTGCATATAAACCGTGTCGCGGACACCGCCATGTTGAAATGACGCTATGCATTATGGGACTCCCAGGGGCAGATAAGAGTTGGTCTCTCTCCGAGAATAATTATGAATTTAACAATGATTACTGCTTGATGACATTTTCCCACATCTGCAAAGCTCACTGGAAGGACACAAACCGAGGACAATATTTTCCTGATATAGGGTTTATTACTCAAGTAAGGGTAAAAAAGTATCTGATTAGAAGGCTACTTGAGTACTGAGTATCATCTGGTCTAATATTTTTAAATGATGACATCAAACAGACATAAAATAAGAAGTTATGGGCAAATATTGGTATTTTAAAGACTAAAGGGAAAAAATGTAAACAAATAAACAACAGAATTACAAAATAACACATTTTTGGCAAAATTTAGACACAAACTGAGGACAATATTTTCCTGACATACAGGGTTTATCAAGTTGTCTGAAAATGTAACACGTTTAAAAAAAATACCGCGATAATACCGAAAACCATGATAATTTTGGTCACAATAACGGTGAGGTTAAATTTTCACACCGTCACAACCCTAGTTGTAACTGCCTTCTGTGATTTTACACATAGCATGTCTGTGTAACAGTAAAATGTATCTGTAACTTTTGCTGCCTCTTGGCCAGGACTCCCTTGATAATCAGGTTTTTAATCCCAATGGGACCTTCCTGGTTAAATAAAGAATTAATAAATAAACAGTTGGAGTTGATATAGTGTTTTATGCTAAGCTAAAGGAGTACAGCCTGGTCAGGAGAAGGACTGGGCTCATTAAAAATGATTTTTTCCCCCACTATCTACCTCTGGGAAATATGTCAGACAAAATGAGAATTTTGGGTGAAATATCCCTTTAAAACAAAATAACGTTTTACCTAGTTTGTTGGGATTTTCAGCTGCCCAAGCAATAGTGATGCCTCCAATCTCAGAGTCACTGAATCGTAGCAGGAAGGTGCCATTTGTTTTGGACAGGAGCATGTCTTGTGCTTGCTGCTTGTTCACAAATCCCAGAATGGCCCTGTAAGTACACAAATACTGTAACACATTTACACAATGGATTCACAGAGATAACATTATTTTCAAACAGAACACAAATACTTGAGTCCTTGCCAAAACCAGATTTGAAACAGGGTACTACGAAAGAGGAATTGGGAGCCAGTAACCTCCATTTCCGGTCAGCTTATTATTTTGTACCTTTTCAAGAGTATGTGCTGCTGTAGCAAGTGAATTTCTCCACTGTGGGATTAATAAAGTATATTTTATTTTGTGCTCTTCAAAGATTAAAACAAGTTCACAATAAGCACACGAGACAGACGTGACCGACTCTGGAAGTGCCGTGGACAACATTCTGCTACTTGCCACATTCTCAAGCACGACCGGTTTTGCAGTGGGCCAGAAATGGTGTGGGGTGGGCTAACCCTAACCCTAACCCTAATGGGCCATTCCCATCTGTACCGGGTCGGCTCGGGCCGGGTAGCGTAGGTTGTTTACATATCTGGGTGGTCTGGTATTTTTCTGGGCCAACCAAGGCTCATTCTCAGCCCTCTTCTCGAGGGGGTCTGCTTCAGGCCGACCAGGGCCAACACACCCACTGCTGACAGCAAACTCACACCTTCCATTAGAGCAAGCCTCTGATTGGTGGGTAGAATCAGCCCACATGGGCTCAAGACAAGGATGTGTGGAATCAACCGGGCCAGGCTGGGGCCGACTGGGGCTACCCGGCCCGGGCCGACCCGGTACTGATGGGAATGGCCCAATAGCGAGGTGCCACAATCACAAGGGGGGTTAATGCCAAGCTCCGGCTGACAACTATGGTGAAAATGTAACTTACTATCTATTGCAACCACTTCCCAATCTCTTAGATCCTCATCTGCACTTCATCTGGTTCAACCTCGAGCTCGCCTTGCCACCATGGGGAGCAGAGCTTTCAGTTGCTCTGCTCCATGGCTCTTGAACTCACTTCCCTCTGGCGTTAGAAATACGGACTCTTTTCCATTATTCAAGGCACACCTCAAAACCCACTTATTCAAACAAGTTTATTCCCTTTAGACCTAGACTTTAGAATTGTTTCAAATTTTTATGTATCTTGTTTGTTCTTATTGCCCTATCTCACCTCTGTTGTTTTTTGTTTTTATCTTTGTAAGGTGACCTTGGGTTTGAGAAAGGCGCCCTCAAATAAAATGTATTATTATTATTATTAAAATCAAAGTAAAGTCATGGCACAAGATTTGATTTTTGAACAAAATCGGCTGAGATGACAAACTGGAGCGCTGCAGAGCTCCAGCAGCTTCTCTCCGTTAAACTGGAGCTCAGATCACCAGAAACTGCCCGGTGACTGTTGGGAACGGACACTTTTAGGAGCGGCTTGTTGAACTTCATGAGCACGGTTTCAACCGCAATAAAACGCAAGTTACGTCCAAGATAAACGGAAGTCCGCTGCAGCGCGGGGACCGCCCCCCTACCCCCTTTATGCCGCCATCGCCTAATCTTTTATAAAAAGGACATGATTGCACCACATTACCGCCACGGTATGACCACTTCTAAATGACCTAGGGCTCCCTGATGCCGCCATGGAGTTATGGCAAATTGATGGCATTGTATTGTAAAAACGGCTTTAGATGAATCATTAAACTCACCTGTGTCAGTGTGCCCCGGGGCAGCTGTGACCATCGGAGTGCGAGTGTGTGTTGTCATGGGTGAAAGACTGTGTTAAAAGACCGTGTGGACTGCAGTAAGATAAATCTAAAACTAAAAAATACCTTTTCTTGATCTTTGTAAACTCCGCTGCTGCTATTCAGATTTGACTCTGTACTCATTGATAAACAGTGTTGGCTTCATGGTGAATAAGTCGGATAAATCATTACCCATCATTCCAGTGAGGCTTGAGATGCTTCTTCATTAGCTCTACCACTCCATCAAACCACTGCCAAAAGGTGAAGCTGCGTCCAGGTAAGTTTTCCTACAGAAATTACAAACTGTCAGATTTATGTCAAGTTCTTTCATTAAAACATACACGTGTGCATTAAAATGTGTGGGACCTGTTGGGGAAAATCTATTATGCTCTTTACGGCTGGTAAATATTTCCGATGGTAATCCGTGGTATGGCAGTGCCGCTACTTTGGACCACATTTGTTAATCTACACTGTATTGTTTTGTTACTTTTAATAAACTGTCAATAAAATATAAAGATATTCAACAAAATTCTATTCAAATTCAACAATACTTTATTAATCCCAGAGCAAAATTCATGTAACATTCTATAAAAATATGTATTATCAATATTATTGAGCCTTTCATATTTAATTGATGATGAAAATAGGTACTTAGGGCATGCCAGGGAACCAACACTTATATAATATTAATAATAATTTGACAAAGAGGCAAAAATATAGTTTCTAAAAATCTATTACTATATTTTTACTACTACTGATGATACAAGATAAATTATTATAAATGATGATTTCAGACAAGACAAGACAGCTTTATTTATATACCACATTTCCTACTCAACGGCAACTCAATGTGCTTCACAGCAATAAAGACAATCAAAACAAATACGCAACTGAACAATGGGATTACATAAAAATAAAACTGGAAATAACATAATATGAATTAAACATTGTGAAGAGAGCTAAATGTGGTCAAACAGGAATGACTAAGTATGTGAAAACACTGATTAAGCTAAAGTTATAAGGAGACTAAAACTAAGGCAGTAACAACTGGTACAATTAACTACAAAAACAACTGTTGAAAACTAACACAATGTCAGTGCTTTAAGTTGGTAAGAAGGCTAATCATGAATTACAAAAACCAGCGATGACTAAAAGTAGAGAACTAACAGAAATTCAGTATTCTGGGCAGATAAAAATGCTAACCAGGAATTACTGAGTGTAAGACGACTGTAACTAATGCAGTAAAAGCTGGTACAATATACTACAAACACTGATGACTGAAATTAGCAACTAACAGTAATTCAATACTTTGAATAGGTAGGGAGGCTAACCAAGGGTTACTAAGTGTAAGGGGCAGAAAACTAAAAACTAGCTCAATATAAATGAGAGATAACAAAGAGTGGTCAGCGGGAAATGGCTAAGTATGTGAAAGCATTGATTAAACTAATAAAACTAACAGTGAAACAGGTAAAATGAACTACAAAAACAGCATTTGACTAAAACTGGAAGTTGGGTTGGAGATTAGAGGTCAAGGGGTAACAAATCGAACAGTGAGTCCTTCGTGGTTTTGTGACATTCTCCTCAGATCCACAGTTCCACGTAAGGTTAGGTTAGGAATAGGTTAGGAGGGGGGTGAAAGCGAGTGTTTGTATTCATTCCACATGATGATCCACTTCCAGTAATCCAAAAATGTATCCAACCGGGTGCGTTCTGTGTAGGAATAAGGGAGCTCCCTACTCAATTCTGAATGTTGTAAAGATTTCATGAATGGTGGTCTGCGACCAGTTGATCAGATTCATCCTTTTAAAATACAATTCCAGAAATATGCTGGTGAAGGTTCTCCGTCATCCAGGTCATGGTAATCCAAAGAGTTCAAATGAAGGCAACTTGACTTCTTTGGTTTCTTGAAGATGTTTTGCTTCTCATCTGAGGAGCTTTGTCAGTTCTGACTGGAATATAGGAGAGTCAAGCTTATAAACTGTAGCTGTCTGTTATTTAACGAGCAGAAACTACTCTGAATACCCCTCCTCTGATGAGTTGTCACCTTCAAAGGTGTGTCCCTTGTCCTTCAGGTGTAGGTGAACTGCAGGGTGTTGACCTGAAGAGGTGGCTCTCCAGTGTTGTGCAATGCGCTTGTGTAACTGTTGTTTTGTTTCCCCGATGTAAACATCTGGACATTCCTCACTACATTGGACTGCATAGAGCTTGGTTTATGCTTGGCGCATTTACTTTCCGCGCGGTGATGCGGCTCGCGGATGGAACGCGTTTCACAACTCGCAGCGTTTATGGTTCATGTGGCTCGTCTCTGCGGTGAGCCAATATTCTCCCAAACTGTAGGGGGCAGCATGGAGCTCTACGCCATGCATCCAACACTACACCATAGTAGAAGTAGAAATTACTGTTTACAACATGGCATTCCAGCATTTTTAACAGTGTCCTCGTCTTTTCCGACAGTGCGAGCTATTTCTCTCCAAGAATTATTAACAACATGTTGATCACGGCGATCTCTGAGAGCTGAATCATACAAATGTCTGTATTTACCAACCTCTGCCGTACTAGTTCTTGCCGGTCCGCCATGTTTTTCCATGTCCGACCGTCCACGTGGTTAGAAAATTTCCTAGGCGGAAATTTTGGGCCGTGCGGAGACGCGGTGGAGGGGCGTGGTTGTTAAAATGACGCAAAATGACGCAACTTTTCCGTGCGGAGCCGTGCGGACCGCGGACGCATCAAGCATAAACCATCCTTAACCCTTCCACTGTAGGAGTGGGTCAGATAAACAAGGAGGATAAATTATGCCACTGAGCTTCTGTTTGGGTGTTTTGTCTTTTGGATGGACCAGTTTCTGTCTGAGGGTGTTGTTGGGTTTAAAGTTTACCAGGATGTTGTGTTTGGAGAAGATTGTTTCTAGTTTCTCTGAGACTCCTGCCACATATGGGAAGACAGAGCCTTTGTATGGGGAAAAAGTATACATCAGACACAGATCAGCTTACACGTACAAAAATCCTTTTGAGACTCCTTTCTCACCTGACTTGATTTGTGCGTACATGGTGCGTTTGAACGCTGAGAGGAAAGCTGGGAAATCCAATTTTCCTTTGGATTTAGTCTAAACTTGTGTTGATGGGACAAATATGTTTTTCTGTGGAAAAACAGAGTATCTCAGGATCCTGTGGTTATAAAAGATAGACCTGCATTTGATTTTTAATGATCTAAAATTATTTATTTAGACATATGTGTTTGTGAGCCATGAAAACGGTGAAAGGGTTTTAAGAAATGACTAATAAATGGCAGAGTGCTTCTCTGAGTGGAAAAAAGCAGGCTTCAAAAGGAGAGAGGCACGAGAAGATGGCACGGCGTCATAGGACGCCAAAGTCACACCCGTCAACTTCGGACCCAAGAAGAATAAAAAAAATGAATGCAAGTCAATGGTGCTAAAAACGCAATATTTTTATTCCACTTGTTTTGTACCATGGATTTCAAATATGATGTCCGGGAATTTTAAAGATGCATTTTGATACCAAGAACGCTCTTATTTTCAAATGGGGGAAACACTATTTTAGGTTTAGTGTGAAAATAAGTCCAGGAGTACAAATGCACTTCACGAAAGTGACGTCATCAAACCAGAAACAGAGAAAAACAGAAGGAAAATGGCTGTAAGTTCAGCGAACTTCAAATCCTTCCTTCAGGAAGAAAGAAGCACCATAAATCTGGTCATGTGGTAAGTAGCAACTACACTGGGGAGAAATAGCGTTTTTAGCCCCGCTGACCTGCATTAATTTTTTTTCGTTCTTCTGGGCACTCATGAGCCGACCGGAAAGGGAGGAGACTTAGGCTCCCTATGGTGATCTTTCCTCTGAAGTAAAAGTTACACCTGCACACTTTTCAGTCTGGTTATAACGAGACAGCTATTATTTAGACCTATTCAGACGTTTTATAGGGATGACAGACTGATACACTGTCCCCATTTCTGTGTTAGCAGGTGCTAACGTCTGTATGAGCTAAGCTACGTTAGCCATTACAAGCTGTTGTCAACATAGGTGTGAATAGAGAATAGTGTTTGTGCTCTGTAAGATGAATAGAATGATTTAGTTGCATCGCCAGACTTGCATTTGAATTTGAATCAGATTACATCAAGAGCAAAAATGCTGCTTAGCATTGTGGTTTTGCTAGGTTAGCTTACAGCCTCTTTAAAATCCACCTAATAAAAATTGTTTTAAATAGTTTAGAAACTTCATTGCACAACACTGTTGACATGACTGTCAAATGTGTGGTTTTGAATGCATCATAAACTATGATGAAGTCCTCACTGAACAAGTTGAACCACAACTCCCAGCATGCACCAGACAAGGAAACACTTCTCGGGCCAGTTTATGTGTGCACAGTAACATTAGGTAGTTTACATATTATTGTGCACTCACATAAACTGGCCCAGGAGCCACTTCCTTGTCTGGGGACAGTGTGTCAATCTTTCAGACCTATAAAATGACTGAAATGGTTTAAAATAATAGCTGTCTCATTATAACCTGACTGCAAAGCATGCTAGACTTACTTTTACTTACTTCAGAGGAAAGATCACCAGGCCACTGCACCATCTTCTTGTGCCTTCTCCCGGTTTGATGCCTGCTTTTTTCCAGTGAGAGAACTGCTCTGCCATTTATTAGTCCTTTCTTATAATCCTTTCACTGTTTTCATGGCTCACGAACACATATTTCTAAATAAACCGTTTTAGATCATTAAAAATTAAATGTAGGTCTATCTTTTATAACTACAGGATCCTGAGATACTCTTTTTACCAGAGGTGGAAAGAGTACTAAAATTTCCTACTTAAGTACCAGTACTTTTATAATTTTTTACTCATGTACAAGTAAAAAGTATTGTAAATAAAATGTACTCAAAGTAAAAGTTACTTAGTGACATTTTTGTCAGCGTAAAGATGGTTACATCAGTGCAAAACCACAACACCAGTTCACAACACGCTCGTGGACACACACACAGTTTGATGGAAGGATTTCTATCCAATCAGTGAGAACAGGACGTGCACATTGATTGGACGAGGTTTTTCTAGGATTGTACGTTTCAACTGTGATTAAAATTATTCTTTATTTTAAAAAACAAAGTTATTTTTAGACGCCATCAGTATGTGAGGCATCTCAATGTCCTCATGACAAAACTCTAACATGAGACTGTGCTCTAACCTGTCACATAACAAGCTAAATGAAAGTCAAACATTTCAGATGGACCGTATGACAGCTGCTAATGTTGGCCCTGCCCTACTTTACCTCTACATTAC